ACAGCTCCTCTGGGCAACCTGTGCCAGGGCCTCCCCACCCTCACAGGGAACAATTCCTTCCCAATATCCCAGCTAACCCTCCTCTTCCAGCTTCAAACCATTCCCCCCATCCTATTACTACAGATCCTGCTAAAATTCCATCCATTACAAACCTCTGGTGTGGTGACTGAGCTCAGATTTCCAGGGAAAAATGCCTCTATCCCTGTGTGTGAGCCAGAGGGTGCTGTGAGGGCAATTGGGATGGAAGTGGAGCTTTTAAGGTTTATTTCCCATTTTTCCTGCTGTCGAGGGCTGTGTTACCATTGGGTGCCAGGACTGGAGTTCCTGGGTTTATCCTGCCCCAGAACTGGAAGGAAACCCCACTCTTTGGCTCTTGGCTGTTCCGTGTGAGGTCGTTCACGTCCCGCAGCCTCCGAGGGGACCCACTGCTTTAAATCATCCCTTGGAAGGGAAGAGCCAGTGTTTTTCCTTGGATTCCTGCAGAATGAGCCCAATTACAGCTGCGGGTGGGGGATGATTAACGAGCTAATTAACATATCTGCAAACTTCAGCACAAACCCAGCCGGGGCCTCCTCAGGAGGCTGGTGCAGGATGTGACCCCGTGGGGTGGCTCTGGGTGGGCTCTGGGCTGTGGATCCCTTTGCAAAGGGGGCTCAGGGGGCTCCCAAAATGTTTGGGATGCGCCAAAAATCTCCAGCCGGAGCCGTGGCTGCGCAATTCCCGGGAAAAACCCTCAGCTGGGATCAGGATCGGGATCGTGCTGCTCCTCCTGCACCTCCCCCTGTGGGGTCAGCTCCAGCTTTTCCCTCGGCACCAGCTGGGCTGATTAAAGCAGGAATTCCCGGTTTAGGGACAACACTGAGCTGTGTCACTCACTGCAGGGAAGGGGTGGAGAGCTGGGGGGGCTCACCTGGAGAAGAGAAGGATCCAGGGAGAGCTGAGAGCCCCTTCCAGGGCCTAAAGGGGCTCCAGGAGAGCTGGAGAGGGACTGGGGACAAGGGATGGAGGGACAGGACACAGGGAATGGCTTCCCACTGCCAGAGGGCAGGGATAGATGGGATACATGTGGATTTTTTAGCTGTTTCTGGGTACTTTGCAGGGTTTTCCAGGGTCTAAATCAGACCCAGGAATCCATAACCTCCCAGCTTTTCTCCTGTATCCCATTCTGACCTCTCCCTGCTCCCGCAGTGTCCCCTGATCCTGTGCATTCCCAGACCCCTCCAGGATTTTATCCAGCCCCCTAATCCCCAAACCCCCCATTTACTGCAGCATTTCCCAAGCTGGCCCCATCCTAGGCTGAGCTCTCCCCCTTCCCATCCCGCTGCTCCCTCACCCCTCTGCCATCCCCAGGGATAACAGGATTTAAGGAAAAAGGCTCAGAGCCCTCAGCTGTCCCTTCCCTTCCCAACAGGGCCGTGGGGTGATGCCTTTCCCACTGTTTTTCCCTTCCCTGGTAATGCCATCCCTCCCTGCTCATCCTTATCATCCTGACCTACTTTCTGCTTCCTGGAGGTTTGGCTTTGTCTGAGGCTCCTCAGCTGCAGGATTATTGTTAATTCCCCGTTTTCCGACGTCCTCAGAGGCCCCGTTGAAACGACCAACTAAAAAATGAAAACTCAAATTAAAATCAAAATACCCCCGAATTTACCGATGGTGAAGGTCCAAGGTCTGGCTTTGGAAATCAGGAATTAAGCAAATGCTGTGGAGTTGAATTAACTGGGAGTTTCCCGGGAATTTTATGAGGATGCAGCTGGTCCCCCCTTTTCCTGATATCCCTAAAATCAAGGGGTGCTTTGTCCTGACAGGAATTGGCCCCTGTGGGGTTCAGGTCATTGACTCTCCATTGTGGGAGCACAATTCCTTCACAGCAAGGAATTACTGGGAATTTTTATAAATTTGGTGTATTTTTAGGAATTTTGCACGGCTGCCTTTTGACCCGAAGTGAGATCCCCAAAATCCAACCCTCCTATCCCCAGAAAGGGCCTTTTCCACTCCCAGAATCCAACTTTTCCATTCCTTCCCAGAGGCTTTTCAACATTCAAAGGGGAATTTGGTGCTCGAGCGGAGCTGAAGCTCCCCCAGGATTTGTGCTGTGGATGGATCCTTCTCTGGGAATCCTGGAGCTACCAGAGAGCTGGAGAGGGATAGGGAAAAGGACCTGGAGTGCCAGGAAAAGTGGGAACAGCTTCCCACAGTCACAGGGATAGCTGGGATCTGTCACTTCCCACCTCCAACAAAAAGGCTCTTTTTTTTTTCCCAAAAAGATCAAACTAAGAAGAAACAGGGGATTTTCCAGAGCTTCTCCAGCTCCTGCAGGGCACAGAAATGGGATTGGGAGCATCCAGAACGTGCTGCTTGTTCCATAATTCACCTTTCAGACCCAACTGGCTCCAGAGACAGGAAAACACGGAGACTCCTGGCACAGGGAGCCCTTCCCTGGACACTCCCAGAGCAGCTTCCCCTGGGGCTGAAGGAACCAGGAATTCTTTCTTCCAGGCCTGGATAAACAGGGAGAGGATTAAACAGCACAAAGGATCACACCACCAGGAACCCACATTCCAGAGGGAAAATGGCATTTCAGGAGCTGCATTAAAGCCACGACTTCTCCCTCGGGTTCATCCAACCCCAGGTTTTTTATGGAGCAAAAGGTCTCATCCAGCTCCTGAAAATCTCCGGGAATTTCCCAGCCTGGCTCTCGGAAAGGGCTGCAATTCCTTCTTCCCAGTGGCCCGTCGGACTCAAATAAGCCACAGAAAAAATTGTATAAAAAGATTTATTGAAATTCATCAATGACAAACAGACATAAAACTCAAAGTTTGGCTCTTCTGGGAAAAAAAAAACAAAAACAAAAACAAAAAAACCAAACGAAACAAACCAAAAACCAAAAAAAAAAAAACCAAAAACCAAAACCTGTTGCAAATGTATTTATACAGATGAAATATTGACTAGGAAATACAAGTCACTTCTAAAGCTATTTTTAAAGAGGGATATGAAAGTAAAACTGTACATTCACTAGGCATTTTCAGTCATTTTACTGACTTCCACTAGGTAAGAAAATACAATTTTAATTAGTATCTCGTGCTTGAGTGTATGAAAAGAAACCTCCTACCCTACATGCTGAACTGCCTCCTGGATTTAGGGGTGTAAAAAGTCTTTTTTCCAAGTATAGAGCACAAGTGGAAGTAGTTTCTCATCACTTAAAATCGACTCTATTGGTGTTATATATTACAGACCAAAATAGTACACACCTTATTTAAAAGGGTTGGAACATTTTTTTTATTACAATTGTCAAATTCATCTCACTAGTAACTCAGGAATTAGGAACACTTTTTATATATATTTATATATATATTTAAATGCCTGCCATTTTCAGTGTCTTGGCTGCACCTCAGCCAAAAAAAACCCAACAAAAAACCCAAAACAAAACAAAAACAAAACTCCCCTTCCCTCCCCTCCAAAAAAAATTAAAAACGAATGGAAAAAGGAAAAAAAAAACACACAACACACAGGGCAGGGATTGCAAATTCACCCCCCAAAGCAGATCCAAAGGAACACCCCAAAAAGAAAAAACAAGCCCAAGGAAAACATTTGGTCACTATTTACAAAGAGCAAAAAACCAAAAAAAACCCCAAAAAGCCAAGGGAGCTCCAAAAAGCAGGGCAAAGTGGCTGAAAATGGCAGTCATTCCCGGGGGGAAAGGAAAAGCACGGAGCAAGATGCCATTCTCACCCTGTTGCTGTGGAGGGATGGTGCCCTGCCTCGAATTCCAGCAGCATTCCCCCCAAAAAAAATGCTTGTTGGGTGTTTATTTAACGAGTGGGAAAATCCCAACCTCCGCCACCGTCTCCAAGTGTGGGATTTGGGGGATGAGCCGCCGGGCCCCAGCTTTTTTTTTTGGATCCTTATTTTCCTTCCGGATGGCAAAGTTATCCACTCCAAGAATAAGAAACAAATTACCACTTGGTTTATACTCAAACTATTGCAGTTACAGGGACTAAAGGAAGGGATTTAAAAAGAAAAGAAATTTCCAATGAATAGGAGGAGGAGTGGCAGTAAAAATAGTATTTTATTCCCTTGCCCACCCAGTCTCTGCTTCTCCCTCTCGTTCCCACAGCAACATTACAATCAGAAAAAAACAAAATAAAAGAAAAAGAAAAAAAAAAAAAGGGGGGTTGGGGGTGCAGGGGAGGGGAAATACAGGGTAAAAACAGTCAAATCACAATAGGAAAATTTCAAAATAGGTTCTTCAGTTTAGTCGTCCTCGTCCCCTTCGTCGTCAGGCTCTCGTTTCCTCTTCTGTCCCTGTTCTTCCTCTGCAAAAGCAAAGCAGCCTCGGTTAGCCCAGTGCTCCCCCAGCTCAGGCAGGAGCAGGGCATGGACACAGCCCTGCTTCCTGCAAAATTCCACACTTTCCAAGCCCACTATCCCAGGTTTCTGTCTGGGAAAAGGGGCGGGGCCGTACCGGGCTCCTCCTCATCCTCCTCGTCGTCCACCTCGCCGTCGTTGTAGCCTTCCTCGTCCTCCTGGAATTCAGGCACAGGGGAAGGTCAGGAAGTGGGTTCAGGGCAGGAATTTTAACACTTTGACAATTTAACAACTGTTAAATTTCACAGTTTGACCAGAAAATTCCAACGGGATTTTACAAGGGAGAAACGTCTTAAAAAGGAACCACTTCCCACACAGGTATAAAGGAATAACTGGAGTTGGGGATGGAATAACTGGGGGTTGGGATGGAGTAGTTGGGGCTTGGGATGGAATAACTAGAATTTGGGATGGAGTAATCGGGGTGTGGGATTGAATAAATGGGGTTTGGGATGGAATAAATGGGGTTTGGGATGGAATAAATGGGGTTTGGGATGGAATTACCTGGGGGTTGGGATGGAATAAATGGGGTTTGGGATGGAATAAATGGGATTTGGGATGGAATTACCTGGGGGTTGGGATGGAATAAATGGGGTTTGGGATGGAATTACTTGGGGGTTGGGATGGAATAACTGGGGTTGGGGAGGGAGTAACTGGATTCTGGCAGAGTTTCAGTGCAGAAAATCCCAAGGAATCACAGAATCACAGATATGGAGCTGCAAATTTTGTTCCCATGTCCTGGATTTAGTAAAACTTGACTGGTCAGAAGGTGCTCCAGGGGCAGAGTTAAATCCTGGACATGCCCAGAGCCTGAGGAGCTGCTTTTAGGAGGCTGAGGAACAATTCAGGAGTGGCAGGGGAGGATCTAAGGCTGGAGGACAGGGAAGAACCTCCCACAATCCCACTTTAGCCCCATCCCAGATTTCTGCTGACAGCAAAGGCCTGTCCCAGCACCAAGGAACATTCCTGGGAAGAGCCTTGAACAGGGTGGGGGACTGAAAGTCCTCAAAACTGTCAGTATTTGGGGCATTTCTTGCCCAGCTGCTCCCAGCTGGAGCAAGTTCAATCCTCACCTCCTCCTCTCCACTCACATCCTCCTCTTCTCCTTCCTCCTCTTCCTCCTCATCTTCTTCATCTTCTACTACCTGAGCATCATCATCGTACTCCTCTTCTGCACAAACACAACGATCCACTCAGACATTTCCAGCTGATTTTTTAGGATGTTGCTGCCCCTGCTTTGCCCTCTCAGGGACACCAGGAGCCCACAGGGAGCCTTCCCTGGGGCCAGCAGAGGATTTTAGGGAGCTGTGCAGCTGCACCCCTGCTTTGGGGCTGCTCAGCCACTCGTGGAGCCTCAGGACTGGTGCAGCTCCAGCTGCTCCCCTTCCCATGAATATGCATTTCGGAGCCCGGGGGACATGTCCAGCTCTCCCAGTGTCCAGCTGCTCCCAGCTGCCCTCCCAGGAGTTGGGAACCCTCCCAGGGACCCCCCCGTGCCTTGACACCCCCCAGTGTCACCCCCCATCCATTCAGGGGGTCACAGCCCCTTTCCAAGGGGAAAGGGATCAAACACAACCACCCCACGTGCTCCGACCCGGAGCGTTTTCCCTGCTGCAGGAACGGCCTTTGGGAGCTTTTCCATGCATTTGTGTGGAAGCAGGCACTGCCAGGCCCTCTCAGAGCTCCCACTCAGCACTGAGGGAAAAGTGCAAGTGCAGCTGTTCTGCTTTTGCTGTGAGAGCTGGGTTTGGGATCCAGCACATTCCCCGGCTCCGGGGGCTCCTCCGGCCATGCCGGGTGTTGGGGGCAGGTGGCACCTCCAGCTCTGGGACCCCCTCATTTCCCTGCCATTACAGGTTTGTTTGGGACCCCCCTCATTTCCCTGCCATTACAGGTTTGTTTGGGACCCCCCTCATGTCCCTGCCTCTAAAGGTTGTTTGTTCCTTCATTGCTTCAACACACACACACTCACTCCTCTCTTCTGCCTGATCTCGTTTTGTCCTCATGGAGCAGCCTCAGCTCCTTAATTCCTGCTGTTTTCCAGGTTCTCACCCTGCCCTTCTCCATCTGCACATCATCCTTCTCACCCATTTCTGCCCCACACCCTCATCCCTGGCTGCTCTGTTCCCTGAACCCTCTCAGTGCCTTCCCCCGGTGCCTTCCTTCTCCCACCCCTTCACTCCCACCCTTCACTAGGGATAAAATCCACAGAACCACAGAATATGCTGAGCTGGGAGGGATCCACAAGGATTATCCAGTCCAACCCTTATCCCTGCACAGACCCAACCCCAGAGGATGCCCCAGAGGATCATCCAAACCCTCCTGGAGTTCTGGCAGCCTTGTTGTTGTGCCCACTGCCCTGGGGAGCCTGGTCAGTGCCCAACCACCCTCTGGGGGAAGAACCTTTGCCTGAGATCCAACCTGACCCTGCCCTGAAACAGCTCCAGCCGTTCCCTGGGTCCTGTCCCTGGTCCCACAGAGCACTGTGCCTGTCCCTGGTCCCACAGAGCTCTGTCCCTGTCCCTGTCCCTGGTCCCACAGAGCTCAGTTCCTGCCCTTTGAGGACGTGGCTCTTTAGGCCCCGTCCATCTCTCTCCCCTCATTCCTTTGAGGACACTGAGCTGCAGGAGCTGCTGAGAACCACGAGAGCTGGAAGCCAACCACCCCAGGCAGTCCCTGCACCCCTCAGGCACCCCCTCCACCCCCACCTACCATCCTCATCCTCCTCCTCGTCGTCCAGCCCCTCCACGTAGCCCTCGGCGTCCGAGTCCGGCGCTTCTTTGTCGTCCCGATCTTTCACTAGAGATAAGACTGAGAAAGTTGCTCTTTCAGGCCCTGCCCATTCCCCTCGTTCCTTTGAGGACACTGAGACACTTCTCCTTTACATCAGCCAGGAAGGAGCTGCTGAGAACACCCTTCTCTTGCCACCAAGTCAGAGCTGGAAGCAAAAGGCACCGAGAGGCAGCGTGTGGGTCTGTGACCCCGGGGCCACCCGGCAGCGCCCTGCACGTACCATCCTCATCCTCCTCCTCGTCATCCAGGCCCTCCACGTAGCCCTCGGCGTCCGAGTCCGGCGCCTCCTTGTCGTCCCGGTCGTAGCCATCGAGGTACGTGAGCTGGGGCAGGAGCTTGAACACGTTTTCTCTGTAGTCGTTCAGGTTGGTGACCTCGCAGTTGAACAGGTCTAAGCTCTTCAGGTTTTCTAACTTTTTC